TTAATAATTATTGTTTATGGATCAATGTGTGGATAGTGTAATAGTTTTCAACTCAGAACGGAGAAATTGAAAACAGATTTCAAATACTGGGGAAGTTACATTCACTTTCATAGGAAACCTCTTGGAAAAGGTATGAATCCATCTCTTATGCTCATCTCCAGCTATAGGTTAAATAGCAGGATACATTGTGCTCTCTAGCCATTATTGTCAACCAGTCTAGGAGAAGGATAATTCTGAATTCAAAACCATATGTAACCCTATTGAGGCACATACTATACAGCCATTGAAAAGATTATGGAGTTCATAACTGCGGTTTGGAGTTATGGACTATGATCTCAACTGAGGTCAAATCAAAAAAATGAATTGTTTATGGCTGCAATAGTAAAACTTCAACTGCATACAACTGACTTTATTGCTGTTCAATGAAACAAACATAAAATTCATTTGAACTTTTACCATACTTGGTTGGCTATAATCATATAGCATACAATCAAAAAAGCAACATTAGAATTCTAAAGTGAATTTAAGAAAGACTCTTTGATGTTTTCTTTTGGCTCTCGAGGTTAATTTATGTGGGAGGGGGGTGAATAATAGAAGGATTAAAAGAATCTAAAATATTGTTTATTCAGTTTCAGAAGAAACAAAAGTAATATTATTGATTAATTTATAGAATTTTTGTACTTAAACCAAATTCATTCATAAATTATTGATATTTAAATGTTTTAATAAGAGAAGTCAAGTTGGAATCATTATATATATATAGTAACGTGCAGATTATATATATATATATATATATATATTAATATTATATATATATATATAAAGCCTTACATGGAACCTTAGCTGAAAAATTCTAAAGACGCTGTTTTAAACTTTCTTTTTGTTTAATGCAAAATAAATTCCATCCAATTTAGTTTTTAATATTTGACAAAGCTGGCTCATATACATATATATTTTATATACTAACAGACTTGGTACTTGCAGCCTGATGAGCTGATATGCAAAAATGATTTGATTGTATAATTAATTTTAGTTTGAGCTTATATCAAGTATGTATTACATCTACTAGCTTGTACACTCAAAAAAAAAAAAAAAAAAAAAAAAAATACACTCTGGCAGGGTTTGAACCTGCATTCCCCTTTGTTGGAGAAACTACCATCTGTTCTGATGTGCTTTAGACCACTCAGCCACTAAGAACATCACTGACCAACAAATTTCTATTTACCCTTTTAAGGAATGCACATCCCCTTGTTCATATCTTCTCCATGAACCATATCTTTTTCCAGTGTGCAGGACAGTAGACATAATACACACTGTTTAAAAAAAAATGTGGCATCTACTCAAATATGAGTATCCACTAAAATAACATTTGAAGTAGTATATATATTTCAAACATATCTTGTTAAATATAACAGACAACGCATATCTATTATGTTTGATCATGAGCTGTTCTTAGCTTTGTATAGTGGCTTTAGCTTTGGGAAAAAGACAAAAACTGTCCAACATTTGGATATTTTTTATTATGCTGTTCCTCAATCTGCTGCCCAATACACTCTCTCTCTCTATATATATATATATATATATATATATATATATATATATATATATAAAATAAAATATAATTCTAAGGTATGCTATATTTATGGGTAAAAGTGCTCAATATCAGGAACAGAGTATATGTAAATAAAAAAATGGTCACGGAAGTAAACAACAGTCTGTTTCATGCATATATATATATATATATATTACAGTAGCTCCCTCTGACCTGAGGGACACGGGTTCAAATCCTGCAGGAGTGTACAAATTTTTCTTTAAGATTTTTTCAAACATTTAGGCTAGCAGACAAAAATAAATAAATAAATAAATAAATAAATAAATAAACTGTTTATTAAATAAATGGAGTGCCTACTCAAATACAGGTATCCCCTAAAAATAATTTTTAAAGTGATTATATATGTGTGTGTGTGTGTTTTTGATTAAAAAACAAAATCAACTAAAGTTCCTAGTTGATTATTTTGTATTAACACTTTAGATAATTCTAATCATTTTTCTGATTTCCAGGTTATATTTGTAAATATATCTTCCCATGTCTAAGTGCTTACAGCTAACACTAGTTATTTTCAAGGGCGTTTTTGTTGTGTCATCAGATTTATTTCTTTTAAATATCGTGTTTCACTGACAAAATAACAAACAAAAATGTTTTTAAAAATTACTAGTGTTTGCTGGAAATGCTTAGATATCGGATGATATATTTAGAAATATGAACTGGAAATCTTAAAATTTATTAGAAACATTAAAAAAGTAAATAAAAAACATTAAACAAGGAGCATTAGTTGTTTTTTAGTCAAACATGCACAACTTAAAAATTATTGCCTAAGTTCACCCAGTGTGTGTGTGTGTGTGTGTGTGTGTATGTGAATAAAAATGTAAGACTGATATAAAGCATTTGAGAGAGAGAGAGAGAGAGAGAGATTGCGTTCAGTAAATTTTATTAGACATGATGGTTAGAATTTGTTAAACTTTTTGTCAATTAGGTTTCACCTCATGAAATGTAAATTATAAACTAAACTGTTAAAGAACTCAAAATAAGTCTTCTTGAAAAATAAATAAGTTTTCTTTTATTGGTTATAGAAACAAATAAAAACTTTCTATCCCTACAACAGAAAAGAAAACAACAAAAATCAACAGAAGAAAAAAAATGGGAAGGTATGAGAAAATATACTCTGACTTTTTCAGAAATATTTTTAAATTGAGATGAGTTAAAAAAAATTTAATTCCTGGTGCATTGGTCACTTCTATAAAAAAAAAACAACAAAAAAAAAAAACACTTTTGGACATTTGAGAATATTAACAACATATTTTTATAACAAACAGATTATCAAACTAACATTTATCAGTAAAAAAAAAAAAAAAAAATTAAGAATAAATTCTTAAAATCTATAAAATTTACATTTTTCAACCATCTAAACCTCCAAAAATGTTTAGAAATTAAAACTAATTTTAATAAGATTCTGTGCAATCAACTAGTTAGACAAAGATAAACAAAATGTCAAAAAGCAATGTCATACTGTGTTATAAAGCAAGTTTTATTTATAATATAACTTTGCTGAATTTAGAAACTAAAATTTAAAATTCAACCTTAAAAATAATTAAAATAATAATAATCTGCTAAATACCTTGATAAATGTAATTCTTAACTGCATTTAGACTAAATTTTGTGACATTTAAAATTATTAATGATTTATATCCCTTACATCTTTTACTAAATTAGTGATTATTTCTTTTGAAATAATATTTATACTTTTAAATAATTATATATATGCTTAAAACATAATAAAGAATATAAAAATTATCAGTTTTATTTCCAACAATTATTTAATAAATATTTGATAAAATAATTTGATAATCTTTAAGATTTTAGCATAAGTGATCTTTATTATAAATATTTAAAGTTGGTAATAATTTTTATTAATGACAATATAAATTTTCAGAATAGCCATAATTATACAGTATTTATGATAATTATAACACATAATTGTGATAATAACTTTTGTAATCTCTGTAAAATATCATTAATTTGATACTAATTTCTGTAATAAAATCTTTATTTTGTCCAAATTTCACTGAAGGGATGTGGCATATAAAGGAAGAATTTCACTGAAAGAATAATTATTTTACTTGATTGATCAATTCTAGATGGATCTGAATATCCAAAAATTTCTGCAAAAAATAAAATTTGTATAAACTCCAGAATTTAATTTTTGTTTTGTTTTCAATCTTTAAATTCTTAATACCATGCAGAACTGAAGACAACAAAATTTAATGAAAAAAAAAAAAAAAATTCTATTTTTAATCAATAGTCACAGAATAAAAATAAAAGATTGAAAATGATTTCCCAAAAAGAAATTCATCAAATGCATTGTTGGCAGCTTTAAATGTTTTTCTGTTTTACATTCTGGATATATGCTGTGAAATTTTATTATTTATGTCAATATTTTCACAATAAAAATAGCAATAAAGCATCTGATATTAGTCAAATTTTCAGCCTATACTTATATTTATATGATAAATATACCATGTGAATTTCAGCTTCTAGTATCTATTTTTATTAAAATTAATGATAATTTATTTGGGGGTGTCAGGTTTTATTATGCAAACAAAATAACCATCACGTCCATCCAATGTAGTTCTGCATTCATTACTAAAAATTAATGTTGAGAAATCAGTTTTCATGTACTTCTTAATCCAACTTACATATTTCTCTTTGTGATGTTTACTCAAAGATGGTACTTTTGGCTGCTTTTATGTTCTTAACCAAATCTCTTAATATTCTGTTTTTTTTTTCTTTGTTTATAGTTATAACATAGCTCCTTCAAATATTTTCTGGTCTATATATCAAAATATTGCTGGTAAATCCCTTTTCTTGTATATTCTTTTAATTTAAAGAAAAAAAAATTGTTACTATCTTAAAACCGTTTTTATTTCTTATCCTTAATGTATTCAATGTTAAATTTTTTATTGTTCTATGAACTGTTCAATTTTTTCACAATTTTGAATATTATGTACATATTGCAGAATAGTTTTCAAATATCTTGTTTCTCTTGAGATTATAATTTCTAATGAACTATGGCAATCTTCATAAATTTGAAATTAAAAAATAAATAAAAGTAATTATACTATTATAGATATTTATTTACTATCCCATGAACAACCCTCAGGTTGCATAATAAAATCTTACAGCACCATATAAGTAATTGTAAATATTTCTAATAAAACAGATAAACTGAAATGAACTTAGTATATTTATCATATAAATGTTAAGTTTATCCTGAAATTTTTACCAATATCAGTTGGTTAGTACTAATTTTATTGTAAAAACATTGACTTGCATTATACAGTCTGACATAGTATAAATAAAGAGAATAAACTTATGAAACTATGCATCATTTTAAGCAACCATTGAATGAGGGAAATAATTTATTGCTAACCCTTAAACACGATTATGAATCAGGTTTGAAAAAGACAACATTAAATATTGGAATGATTTGTGTGCGTTTGTTATCATACATTGAGGTCAGATACGAATTGTGTTTCCTTGCGACTTTTAGGACACAGTGTTCCACCTGACCCATTGACTGGCTTCTTGGTCTTGCTTGGACAAGAGCTGCCTCTGCAGTTAATGGTTCATATGAGCTGTTAACCCTTTTCAGAAGATTAATGTTCTGTTGTCGGTTAGCCACAAACCATGTTGGTTTATCTTTGTCTGATTCCGGTGTCAATTCAACAATAGATATTGTCAGGACTTCATCCACTTCTTCATCAGGCTGTGGTTTACGAGTTCTTTTAGCAATTTTAGATGTCTTTGCTTTTTTGTGACTGAGGGCTTCTCCCCCAGACACTTTTAGCTGATCTTTTCCTCTAGTTGATGGTGATCCCTTTGGGGTTGGAATTCGAGTGTGAACTGGAGACCCAGATGATATGTGACTGCTTTTCAAAGCCTTATGGGTTTTTGGTGAACCTTTAGCTGAGGGTGAACTTTCTGGGCTTGACATCATGTAAGTACCATCTTCTTTAATTAACTTAATCATTTCGGCTCCACTTCTTCGCTGGAAAAGCAGAAAAATATGTAAAAATAAGGCAAACTTTAACTTACATTCCTCCAAAAAAAAAAAAAAAAAAAAAAAAGTGTGTCTCAAAGGGACAGTTTTTCTCTTGACACCACTATTACTTTATACTCCCTTGGTAATGTTTACTGTTTTAATAAATCTATGTTTAGAATTTTAATGACAACAAAAGTGTTACACAATATTTGTTAGACTATTTACAAGATTAAATTTTACATTTACAAGATTATAAAAATATGTGAATATTCAAATTGATTGGCAATTAGCCTATGTTTTACCAACCATTCTAAGTACACAATTTGACGGCTTCACCAGTTGCTTTGGTCAAAGTGCTTAGTGTCCATTCTTCATTTAAGATTTCTTAATCAGTCATCACCTGGCTGACAATAGATAATTTATATACAGATTTTCTAAGCATGCTTAATGCAAATTTAAAAAAAAAAATTAGCAATGTTTTAAAATTTTTTTTCAAAATTATATTTTTCAAAAAAGATTAGGATGGGGTTAACCTATAATTGCTGGAGCTTCAGTCCTCGGATTTTTCTACTGATTAAGTAACCTTGATTACAATTATAAAAAATTTGGGAAATTAAAACAAGAAGTATTCTAAGATATAAAATAATCTGAGAAAAAAATCATGTTTATTTAAATTTTCTTATTCTGTCATTTGCTGATAGTGAATTTAATTAGTAATTAAAAAGTAATTTGTTTATATTACAAATTAAATTTAAAGATGTAAAGTAAATTTGATTTCTATTTTGGGGATGATTATAACAATCTCATATTCTGTATTAAGTATAGAAAATGTATTAAACAACAAAAATACTTTGGCAAAGTTTAACAAGCCTACCTACAAAAAATATTGTCAAAAAGGATGTTTTTTTTTCTTGACACTGCTATTACTATATACTTCATTGGTAATTTTTATTGTTTTAAAAAGATATTTTTAGAATTTTAATAAAACCCAGACATATGAAACTGGATTTATATTTTTTTTTTGCTCGAGAATTGACAAAACAAAATGTTAAACACTATAATTTGTTTTCATAGTTATTTCTTAATAACACAGTAAATAATAAATGTTGCTGTGTAGTTGATTGACATATTTTTATAATCTTGTATATATAAAGTTATTCTTGTAAATAAACAATCTAATAAATAAATATTGTTTATATTCTTGTTATCAATTCTTAAAGAAAAAAAATATGTCTAAATCTACTTTCATATGTTTGGGTTTTATTAACATTCTATAAATAGATTTTTGAAAACATTAAAAATTGCAGAGGTAGTATACGGTAACAGCAGTATCAAGAGAAAATCCATCCTTTTGACACACTATTATTTTGCAGGGAAATTTAATAAACTTTACCAACACTCATTTTTTTTTTTGAAAGTATGAAAATATTTGCAAGATATCATTTCAAGGAATATTTATGAAAAATGAGTTTTTATGCAACCTGTAAATACAGAGACGGAACATGAACAAAAACATTTAACAATAATAAAAAGGTACAAAATCTAACATTAGAATTATTAAAATAAGTTGCATTTTATAAGAATTACCATGTTGTATAACTTTACACCAACAAAAACTGGAAATGTGTATTTTGTTTTTTTTTTCAACTACTGCACTAATAAATACTTCCTGTTGTCATCAGTTTTCAGCTCAGTATCTATGCTGATGACACAACTATTTAGTCTTGCCTTGTAAATTGGATCGCTTTGATATGGTCAAACTGGCAGTTGATCTAAAAAAATTACCTACAATCTGTTGTTAAATGGGACAAGGAGTGGCTTGTTAATTTTAACACCTCTAAAACGAAACCTCTCTCTCTCTCTCTTTTAATTGTCTGAGAGAACCCTTTTTACTTTCCATCAGCATGGCTGATGCTAACCTCCAAGAGAATGACTCATTGCACCTTCTTGGACTAATGCTTTCAGCTGACCTGGCATTTTAGCTTCAGTCACCTTCCCACCACCATGACATAGCTTCCCTGTGCCTTTTCTATAAATACTTTCATGGTAATTATTTGAATGAACTTTCCTCTATGGTAGCTAGACTTTACGAATTTAAGTGCAATACTAGATTGGCAGCAAGGTCTCATCATTTTACAGTTGAAATGGCTAAATGTAACCATAAGTTCTATGCTAACAGGTTCTTCTATCACAATTCTTGCTTGTGGAGCTCTCTTCTGGCTTCTTGCTTCCCAGTCAACTTTGATTTTCAAAAATATAAATGCGATATCAATCCTTATCTTCTGTCATCTTAATTCTTGTTATTTTATTGTCCTCTCTCCTTAATAGTAGATTTTTCTCATATTCTCTAACATCCAGTAACCCCTTGTGTCTTAGTGGCTTTATTGCCTTGTTTAGGGCGAAATGATTAAAAAATAAATAAGTAAAAATAAAAGTTTGTTAACGTGGAGTAAGAGCTTTAATCTTAAAAAAAAAAAATAAATAAATAAAAAAATAAAACACCAAAAATCAATTTTCTGAAATTTTTTTTTTAATCATTTCTCTCCAAGCAAAGCAACAATGTCACTAGGATGCAAAGAGTTACAGGGAGTGAAAGAGAATGAGAAGACATTAGTTAGGAAAAGGAAAAAAAACAAAAAAACAGGTCAGGAAAACAGAAGATGTCAATTGACATTGCATTTAAACTTTTGAAAATTATAGGTGGCAGGGAAGCAAGAAACTGGAAGAGAGTTCCACAAGCGAGAAGTGCAAAAAAGAAACTATTAGAATAGAACTGTTATGGCTAGAGAATTCAACAACAATAAGAAATGATCTAGTTGCCAATATAGCAGTATGCTTAAATTCATGCAGTTGAAGTACCAAAGAGGAAAGAATAATTGCCATGAAAATATTTATAGAAAAGACAGATGGAAGCCATATTATGGTAGTGGAAAAGTGACTGAAGTCAAGGTGCCAGGAATGAACCGATTACATTACAGATCCTTCTTTAGATTGTGTCAAGAAAAGATATGTGCATAGTGTAACAGTTATTGCTCAAATTCTGACTGAGTTTGTTGTGATCACTTTCACACAAATACCCTTGGGAAAGGTACAAATCTATCTCTTCTCCTCACAACTATGAGTTAGATAGCATGCCAGACTAGGCTCTCTAGCCTTGGTTAGCAAGCAGCCAAGGGAAAAGATAACACTACATTGAAAAATGGTTGGGTATTAGGCTGGCAACTCTACCCTATCAAAACCTACTTGCTATGGAAACCTCATCAACAACATCTATTATGGTGGTGCTGTGGTCCTATATTCTACAGAGGAGTCTAATGGTACTAAGAAGGAGAAGAAATATATAATAAAAAGATGACTCAGAGTCTGACCTTACTAAAAAGTTACTTTTCATTGTAACAGTGAAATAGTTCTTGCTATCATTAATGGCCCCCTCCCCCGATACATGTTGGAGAAATAAAATAGAGAATATATTCAAGAAGAACTCTGTAGTAATATGAAAATGACTGCCTAATTAGCATAGCTAAAGCATAGACTATATAAGTGCCAAATCAGTAAGAGTAGAGCAGTTCTTGGTATATAAGATAATGACAAAGACAATTCTGTTGTATTTAAAGAGTGAACCTGATCATGTACAGTAATAATACTATCTATTGGGTAGTGGCTGAACTTGCAAATTGCATAATTTGTTTTTACAGACAGGTTTGTTCATATCTTGAACGTTTGTAAGTCGATAAGTGTCGTTATCAGAGAGAAGGTAACAAAGGGAAGTAACTCACCTTTTGCATACTGGTTAATTTAGGTGGCATCTTGCCTCTGTTACTATTATCAATGCAGACATAGGAAGCAGCTGGAAAAAAGACAAGAAAATATTTTTTTTATTCTTTATACATTTATAGCAACAAATACAATAAGATATTCCTTGCTATTTAGAATTCTTTTTACATAGATTTTATTTAAATTTTATAGCTTCTCAGAGATTATATGTTTTTTAATTGTATGTTAATAAAATTCTTTTCATTCTTCAAAACATCAATTATCAAGTTCATTTTTGAAAAGAGGGTTTAGTAGAAAAATAATTAGGTGAAGTATGTTTCAGCCTATATGCTAGTAGAAAGTGTAATTTATTAAATTTAAATCTTTCTGAAAGCTTTTTTGGAGAATGAGAAATTGTTTTATATGAATAAGAAACATTGAAACTAATTCATCACTTTGTAGAATGAGTCAAAATATAATAACTGGATTGACTTTTAAGTGTCCAGATAAGTGTTATTTAATAGCATAATATAATACTATTAAAATTTTTTAGTACTTTTAGTTATATCCTATGCTGTTTCCACTGAGTTCAAGTATAAAATGCCCAGCCCACAATTACTATGTTACCAAATTCACAATCCACTATTGTCCCATAGCTTAGTGGATCCCTGTTGGTTACTTGGATTGATATACACCCAATGCCAGATTTACCATTGTGCTTAGGTGTGCCCTATTTGGCCAGAGGAGGCCCATCTTCCTTCCATGCTTGTGTCAGTATGCCAGGCCAACCTCCTTCAGGGCCCAAGTAAGGAGACTCATAACTTTACTAGCACAGGGCCACATTTGTCCTAAATCCAGCACTATATACATCTGATGTAAGTAAGCTGGAGTGCATAATGGTTAAAATGTTGTGACAACAACAAAGATAAGGACAATAAATTCTATTGTAAAATAATGTAAAATGTCTGAGTGTAAATTGTATTTAAATTATATTTATGGGATATATTGGAGAATATATGTATGTATGCATTTTTAAAAATATTTTGAACTTGAGTATGTATGTATGTGTTTGGATATTTTTATATCTAGTTTTTACTAGGGAAGCTGTATTTCGTTTTTTACATAAGTAATTGATATTAATTCTTAAATGATAAATATTATATATATATATATATATATATAAATGATACTAATTATATTAATACTCATATAAAAAGGAAGAAATCCTCAGTAAAAAGAACAAAAATATTATGGTATAAAGTAGAAATTAAAATCATAGATATTAAAACAAAAAGTGGCAGGATATACAGTACCTTGCCTGATGATCCAGAGGATATGAAACAAGAGTAGTGGGTGAGCTATTTATATCTTTTTTAAAATAAATGTTCTTAATATTTCTCCACAATTTATGGATTGAGTTTATGTATCACCAACAATAAACACAGTTTTCTAACTTACACACACATACATATATAAAGTTTCATTAAAAATGACTAAGGTGCTATTTAATTTTTCTTATGTTCTTATATCTAGACATAAATTATGTAGAAATTGTCCAAATGTTCTGTATGTCAGAGCGTTTTCAGCTATACTTTTAGCCATTTTCAAGGATGATTTTATTTTTACTTTTAACTGAATGTATAGATTGATTTATCTATATATCTAGGGTTATAGGAATGTATACAAGAGCGATTGCTGCCCAAATACAAAAATATATATATATATATATATATATATATATATATTTATTTCTGTGTGTGTATGCATTAAAAGTTTAAACTTATTTATCTCATGCATTTCTCTCTTTTCTGCAGCCATATCTATTTCTTTTGCTCTTCATTCTACTTGAGGTTAACCTGACAATCTGGTTAAAATATTTGATCCTCTGGATAATAAATAACTCTACAGTTGGAAAAGTATTAATTCAAAATGTGGTATTTATTTATTTTTTAAAAAAAAGGGGAAATTTACAAAGAGTCACTTACATTGCATGATATTTTTTTGCATCTCATCAGTCAGCAGATCCCAGTCTTTGCAATGGGCAACTTGATGAATGTGCAGCTTCAAGTAATCTTCACATTTGTTGAACAACGAACGGACAAATGTTGCAAAATCCTGGAAAGAGAAACACAAGATGAAAAAATATACTTTGCTTTTCATCCAATCCATTACAGAAAGGTTTTTAATAATGCTGGCTTCAACACAAAATGATTGTAAAAACAATTCATTCTAGTCTAGTAACTGGAGATCTATTGATACATAACTAGACAATGTCAGACTTTATTGTTTAACTTAATTTTTTCACAATAAAATTGGTATTAACCAACCAATGTTGGTAACATTTTCAGCATATAATTATATAAGCACTATATTACATCATTTCAAGCTTATTTCTCAACTTGTAAAAATATTAATAACAGTTTTTCTTTTGTATGTGTTAGGTTTTATTAAGCAAAAAAAGTCAGTGCAACATAAAATTTTTATTTATCAATAAATACAAAAGATGTAAGCTATAGAAATATATTTGACTTACACAATATCCTATTGACCTGAATAAATTATTTTATTATCTTACATAAGTTAATATAAACTCCTTGACATTCTATAATCTCCATCAGTCTTTTTTACTTTGATTTTATTAACTTTTCTATTATTTCAATTTTAGTGTTACTTGCAGCATTTTTTACTTCATCCAAGAGATGATCTTTTGTAACACTAGGGAAAATGGCTTACTTCCACAACAAAAACAGATTTGAACATTTGAAGAGGTAGTGCTGCTCTGGGTCAAGAGGCTGGCTGATGGAAGACCTTATGTCTAGCAACAGGACTCTGCACCATGCCACTCAAGCAGAAAAACCCAGTCATGGCTGACAAACAATTCCTGTGACCACATCACTCCTTACATCTGACCTCCTAACTCCCCAGACTGTAACCTCCTTTGATTATAATGTGTGGGATGCAATTGAGTGGGAGATCAACAAAACTCCTTGTAACACTAAAGATGAACTGAGGGAAGGATTATGGCAGCATTCACCAACTTAAACAAGGAGACTGTCCAGAAGTGTTGAAGGAGATTCCGAAATTGTCTGGAGGCAGTGGTTGAAGCCAATCGTAATTTTATTGAATAAATTTACTCTTTACTATTTCAAGTTATTTTTGTGTAATTTTGGTAAATATATTGTTGGAATGAGATGTCAGTGTTATTTTCATTTTCGCATAATTTAGACAACAATTTTTCCATCACACACTGTGTGTGTGTATATATATATATATATATATATATATATATATATATAGGGATAGATAAATCAAATGATCAGATATAAGCATGTGTATACGCGAGCAAACAGATAATAATTTATACATTTGTGTGACTAAAGTTTCGCTGAATTACAGCTCATCGGGCACAAGGTCTATATTGCTAAAAGTAAGCAAATGACTTATGAGCTATTTGTTTACTTTAGTCACACACCAACACATAGGTACTAGTATATGTAATAATTAATATGTTAGGAACTTTCACATGGTACTGTTGATAAACCCACTTTAAAAACCACAACCTTGTGTCACATCTGACTGTGTGGTGGGTGTGCTGGTAAATACTTATAAAATCCATTTGCCTTTGGCTGGGATTTATATTTTGATTTTAACCCAAGCCCCAGGGGGCTTTACCCCAGGTTGGGTTTATTGCCTGGGAACTGAGGCATCCCCTAAAGGGGAAGTGCCAAGGGGTCTTTGGAAATTTTGTATGCTATTGCAATTAAACCCACTTTAAACTGTGACCTTGTGTTATGTCTGGTTGCATCATGGGTGCCCTGGTAAATTTATGATTAGGTCAACATTAAATCACCCCTAACCCACCAATACTAGAAAGAGCTATAACAGTTAATGGAAGTGAGAAAACTATTTACCTGAAAAAGGGATAGAAAGATTTTATAAATTTCAACTGACAGTAACTGATCAATGAATGCTGAATATTTCCACATAAGAGAATGTTATATACCATACCTATGAACACTAATGGGTACGTCCCAATCCTCATAAATACGTTGGACACTATTGTAAGTGGGGGTAATATGCTGTCTAAGTAGTCCACCACTAACAGTGGTTTACCTACTTCATGCCACTGGTGAGTATAGTATTTTGTTGATGTTATAAAGATTACCATTTCATTTCCAACCTCTGTCTTGGTTATTCCTCATTCAGTAACCCTTTCTAGGTTACAACAACTAATTTCATCATTACTAATGTAATAAAGAACAAAACGGTAATAACTATAGTGTTTATATAAGTACATTTTACTACCAATAATTGATGCTTCAATTTCTGGAGAAAATTGAGTTGCACTTGCCTCTGTTGAAACACAGTCTTCTTCTTGTAAATGCATAATGAGCCGATTAAGTGAAAGATAAGTTCGACATGCTTTCTCCATTGGAAGAGACTTGATGACCATTGTGAAAACATCATCAAGTAAAGACATGCTCCAGGCCATTACCTATTAAAGAAAAAAAAGGAAAACATTTTCAGTAGAAATTTGAAGCTAATAAATGATAGAAAATACTTAGCAGTTGAAAGAAATTTAACATAAATTAGGGAAAAAGGAATTGGTAAGAGTGTGAACATACAATGGTGTCCCTGTATTTGCAGTGTGTACAAAGTTGCCGTATGTTCACAAGAAATAGAAGATGAGATCAATACATCAAGAAATGAAGACACAAATCCAAATTGAATTGGTTGACAATAGTTTGGTGTTCAATGAGGTTCCTCTCACCCACCCAGGTTGGACCTAGTATTCTCTCTGGTAACACATAAATCCCTTCGACTCATCTTACTTCAGCTGACCAACTGCTACTGCATGACTGGTTGGATGGATGGCTCCTCACTTTTTCTCACCCTTTTCAGTACTACTCATAGAGAGACTGCAAGCAGAAACATCTGATTTCCAACAAAGTACCACTTAATCTCCTTTTTTATTTACTTCCGTATTATTTTATTCCATTCACTTAAGCGAGTTGTCGCTTTGAATCATAGACTTCAAAAACATTATTTTCCATCCATAAAAAAAAAAAAAAGACATTTCTGATTCAGATAACATTATTATTTTGTGAGTGTTCAGTGGGTTGTATGGGGGGGGGTTGAACCTATTGTGCCACAAGAGAACAGTAATCAAAAAAAAAAAAAAAGTCTATTTTACTATGTGATTCTCTAAATAGATATAAATGTAAGGAGGAAGGATAATAGAATAATAATTAATGGTGGAAATGGAATCTACAGCAAAATTTAGTGATTTGGTTCACGTTAACTTTTATACTGAAAATGCATTTGCTTTCCACAACATAATACTTTCAAATCCTTACATTTTCTGTGTATTTCCTTTATAATTTATGATTCATTGTTAAAACACAAAATTAGTTAATCTTTTAGTGCTTTTTAGTCAATTTCATAAGTCAATTTCAAAAAGGTTTGTCTTGCCACTGTAAGCAAATCCTATTGCAAAACTAAATTTGTGAAAAATTTACCAGTGTCTAAACAAAGTGGCAATGGCTAGCTCATCTCTTTCTATACAAATACTTGGATATTGTTTTAGCTGATCTTCAATTAAAGGGTACTCTATACCAAGGAGTAATATGTCTACTAATGAAAGATTTATGCTGCAACCTAATATTAGGACACAACTTCTTGCGTCAACATTCATTAGTAGAAATACCCTCCAGAGGCTCTAAACCACCTTTTAAAGTCTGCGGCCTAGTAGCTATGAGAATGCTGTACCCAGCTCTCTTCAACAATCTAATACCAGATTATAAACTGGCAGCTATTAAATCTAGGCGAAACACAGAAGAAAATAAATTATTTATCCAAACTGAAGTTACTTATATGTTGAGAGAAGGAATAATTGAACACAGCAGAGATTCCAAGCCTTCATAGTCTCCTCTGAGAACAGAAAAAAAACGAATGGTAATCAACTATTCACAAACAATAAACCGATTTACTTTGCTGGATGCCTACCCTCTGCCAAGAATAGATGATATGATAGAGAAAATAGCCAAAAATGGTCTCTTTAGTACTCAGGACCTTAAAAGTGCCTACCATCAGGTAGTTATAAGGCCCAGCAATAAACTCTATATGGCCTTTGAGGCCAGTGGTAAATTATCAATTTTGCAGAATACCATTTGGCATGACTAATGGGGTAGCTAATTTTCAAACAGTGGTAGACCAGATGATATCAAAAGAGAACCTGCTAGGTACCTATACTTACATTGATAATGTAACTATTTATGGTAAAAATGGAGTAGAACATAACAAAAACCTAAATTATTCATGGTGGCTGTTGAAAAGTACAAACTTATGCTTAACCAAGACAAATATTATTTTAGATGTAGAATTATAAAATTACTCAGGCACATTATATGTAAAAACAACATAAAACCTGGTCCAGAACATTTGAATTCATTACTCAGCCTACCAGTCTCAAAAGATTTACTCACTCTGTGCAATGCTTTAGGAATGTTCGCACACTATGCCCATTAGATATCATCTTTTTCAGACAAAATCCATCATCTAACAACAGTATTAAACTTCCTGTTATCTCCCATAGCAGAGAAAGCATTTAACGAGTTAAAGAGGGGCATAGTGAATGCAGCCATTACTATTATTACACTATGATTATACACTACCTCTGGTAGTAGAGACGGACGCCTCAGAATGTGCCATAGCTGCTTCTTTAAGAGGGTCGGGGAGGCCCATAGACTTATTCTCCAGAACCCTGACTAAATTGGAATGTAGACATCCTGCAATAGAGAAAGAAGCCTATGCTATTTTCAAATTGCTGAGAAAATGAAGGCATTATTTGACCAGGTGACATTTTAAACTAATTACAGACCAAAAATCAATCTCATTCATGTTCAAACAATAAGCAAAATTAAGTTAGCCAGGTGGAGAATAGAACTATTGTGTTACTCATTCAATGTAATGTACTGCCCCAGTAAAGAAAACACAGCTGTGGATGCCCTCTTTTGTTTATGTAGCTCAGCTGCTTGCAAAGAAGGGTTAAAGAAACTATATAGAGAGTTGTGCCACCTAGGTGTTATTCGCAGTTTCCTTTTGAAATACCTTGCTCTGATGCATGCTCTACAATGGTCATACAAACACTTTGCTCACTTTTTGCCATCTTCAAGCCACCCGTGTATATTCATTCAGACAGAGGAGCTTCATTTATGTACAAACATGTGCAGTGGTTCCAACAAGAGCAAAGAGTAGCTGTAAGTAGAACCCCATAAAAGCCTCAAGGTAACAGCCAGAGCGAGAGGCATAACAAAATAATTTGGAACACTATTTAACTAGCTACTAATAAAGAGGTAGCTTTAGAGAATTGGAAACAACTAATCCCAGTGGCCCTGCATGCAATTAGAGCGCTGCTATGCACTGCCACTAACACAACAGTTCATGAATGATTCTTCTCATTTCCTAGAAGAAGTTCGACTGAAGTGTCTCTACCATCTTGGATCTCAAAACCGGGAGTAATATTACTAAAAAGTCACGTGTGACTGAATAAGAATAAACCACTGATGGATCAAGTGGAGCTTCATAGATGCCAACCCCCAGTATGCGTGTATTTGTTACCTTAACAAAGGACTTGTCTGCAGCAGGGGATGAATTGGGACCCACAAACATAAGCAAGGACTGTCCTCAGGACACTTTGACTGGCTACGAAGAAACAGAAACATGGTCCCCTTATGAAGTCCCTCTAGTGGTGATTAACAGGTTTCACAGAAGGGAGGCTACTAAAAAAAATGGATGTCAAAAGGACACTTTTTCCCATGAAACTGCTTTTATTTTATCTACCTTCACTCCTTAGCAATGTTTATTGTTTTAACAAGCGACAGTTATAATTGTATTAAAACCTAAACATATGAAAGTGAATTTATACAGTTTCTTTGTTCTTAATATAAAAACTATTATACTTTTTATTTGAATGGTTGGCAAAACATTGGCTAATTGCCAATCGATTCAAACTTTATAAAATAGCAAATAATAAGGATTTCTTTATAGTTTGTTCACATATTTTAATAATTTAGTAAATGTTTATAATTTTATGAATAAAAATAAATTATATTTATTTATTCTTTCTCGATAAATGATATTATTGTATTGCATTAGTTTTAATTGTATTTTTAGAATGTTGTAAATATAAAATTATTCTTATAAATAAACAATCTAATAAATAGTGTTCAATATTTTCATTGTAAATTCTCAAGAACAAAAAAAGGGATGAATTCACTTTCATCATATGTTTCAGCTTTATTACAATTCTAATCATTTCTTTTGAAAATAATAAACCATTGAGTTAAAATAGTTAAAAAAAAGCAGTGTCATGGGAAAAACTGTCCTTTTGGTGCTTCATTTTTTTGCAGGCACAAAGGCCCAGGTTTGTCATGTTGCTTATACAGAATTTTAGAGAGGTTAGAAAATTTCTATAACTTTTCTCTGTTCATAGAATTGTTATTTGGTTAGTATATAAAATAAAAACATGCATAAAAAACTTTTTGAAAAGAAAAATTATTGCTGATTTATATATGAAGTTCTCCAAAATACAGGGTAATGAAATAAATTGATCCAGAAAAATAATAAAAAAAAAATACCTGATCAAGTGACATGAAATGTTTACTGGAAATGACTTCTGTGAAATGAAGCCCTGTGAATTCAATGGCTGCATCCATTAACTGAGTGACAACAGCAAGGACTGGTTCAGACCATTTCAAGCGTGGTAAGCTGCTAGAGATTTTCTGACAATCCATTATGACTTCAAGCACATTCTCACAGGTCTTTAAAAGAGAAAAAAGTTGAATTACAATTTGTCTTGTAAACACGACACAAATATTCAATATAATAGTTCTGAAGAAGATGCTACCATTTTTTTTTTAATTTGAAATCCTGAGAAAATATTTTATACAATATCAACTGAAGATGAAGCAAAAATAATAAAAACACAAATTTACTAACCACTTTTACAGAATGAAGACATATTTCTTTGAGAAAAAAATAAAAAAATAAAAAAAGAGTAACAAATCTATAATTTACTAATGTTTTAATAAAGAATATTGGAATTTGTCTTAAGTTAGCTTATGTGGTCACATTCTTATGGCAATAGAAACACATTTGTTAGTGAATTAAAGCATTAGTTAAATCACAACTAGCTTCCTGGAAGTTGTGAGTTCAATCTCTAGGTCAGGTAATGCTGAAAAATGATATCCTCTGGTTCAATGGAAGAAAGACAAGCAACACAAAAATGAATAGACTGGTAGATATGTAGATATATAGATCTATTCCTAATTTCCAAATAAAGCCTGTTCTTTGTGTCCATTTATTAATGTTATGAATGGTTGAATTCCCGTTTTTTATAACTTAAATGCTTTTTAAATGGGAGGTATGTATGCAGAGGGTGGGATAACTATGATACGTTTCATCGGCTCTAACTACAGAAACATGAATAAACACAAACATGGATTTATAGAACAAAAAGTAACAACTGTTTATTAGGTGGAATACTGGCACTGTGGAAAAGAAAAAGGATAAGAATCTGTCAGAGCAATTAGTTCATTGTGGGAATGGCAAGCATCAGTCTTAAATCATGCATGTAAGCTTTTTGGGAGAGTATTTGGTTTTAGCATGTGAAGCTGGTACTTACAAATAAATCCAATTATCTATTGTTGGGGCATTAGTTCTCATGTTAAATTCCTTGTCTGAGAGTAGTTAGTGGAATTTTACAGCACTGATGTGTCAAGCAGCTGTGTCATTTCTGGTCTACTGATGTAGTTGCTTCTCCTCTGTTGCTATACTACTATTTCTTTAAATGCAGATTCTCTTCTGCTTATATTGGTAGAGATAGGCTCAACTTGAACACAATTTTACATTCTCAATCTTCAGTTTGGCCAATGTTGAATCCTTAATTTTGATTTGCTGGTTTTGTTATTTTACTGAAACTATATGCACAGGTTGTTTTTGTTACAGCATCTAAATGTCTAAGTTAACTAATCCTGACTACATCCATCTGTGTACAGGAAAATATCTTTCTAGGTTTTTAGAGGTGCAACATGTATGACATTCAAGTTTGCAATGAGTATATATAAGCAAATAATAATTAAATAGCTTGGTCTTTTACTGCTCTAAGTATTTGCTCACTTATTAATTCAAAGTAAATAAATGCATTGTGTATATATATATGTATGGTTAAATAGCAGGACAGACTGGGTTCTATAGTCTTGGATAGCAACTAGTCTAGGAGAAGGACAACTCTGAATTCAAAACCTGAGGAGGGTCATTTGATGACCTTGTGGCACATGGTGCACCAGGTCTCTATTTGGATCTTCAAAAAGTGTGGTTGGTTCTGCACAAAACCTTCACCACTATAAGCAAATATTCTGTGCAGGTTTTCTGACTGTCAGTTCCTAGGAACTGAGTGGCCTGACCCTCATACATCGTAAAAGGGTTATGATGCAGGTTAACAGCCAAGTTGATCAACGACAGGAAAGTCCATGATTTTTATATATATATATATATATATATATATATATATAGAAAGAGAGAGAGAGAGAATTTGGATATTAAAAATGTTTAATAAATTATAGACAGTTGCTTGTAACAAAGAAAAGAAGAATTAAAACATTTTAAAAATGTTTTTAAATTGCGATGATTACAATATGTTGTAAACTTATTAAAGTTATACTATCAAAATTAATATTTACTATAGAAGTTTTTAATTAATACTTTTCACAAAGCTTGTTTTAATTGAAATGAAGAGCACATAAAAAACTACAGGCAACTATAAGGGTTAAAATTTTAAACCAAGTGAAACAATCCAGAGTTTTAAAAAAAGTGTGGAGTGGCAAAGAAAAACTGGTAATATTGATGTTTACTTACCAAATCTTTGATAGCTCTTTGACAGCATTCCATCATCAAAGAATCATGCATAAGAGAAAAAGATTTTGTTGGCCAGACTTTGCTGAAATTTTTATTGATCCATTTAAGGCAACGTTCATGAAGTTCAGCCATGTTGAATGTCTTTGATAAAGCCAAAACCTCAGGTACTCCAGCAATACACCCAGGACATGGCTGAAATGGCAACAGAAATATATATATATATATATATATATATATATATATATATATATATATATATATATATATATATATTATGATGGTTGTCAGCTCGTTAATCAAGAATAATTATTTCTGACACATTAACATATAAGACATTGCATCAATAATTTACCTTTACACTAATTTTACACTAAAATCATACATGCGCATAATGAAAATATATTTATTTGCTTAAAATTAAATGATATAAAATATAGAAATTTTTATAAACCAGAACAATGTACATAAACATCACTTGAGTCCAATGAAATCTTAAAGGATGAAATGTGTTACAAAAAAGAAAAAAATTTTGTCATTAAAATTTTTATAAAAAAATCTATTATTTACAAATTGATATATTATACTCCAAAATTATAAATAAATATGACGTATAATTTTAAAAAGTAACAAAAATGAATAAAATAAATCAGTGAAATTATACATATATATATATATATATATATATATGAAAAAGTTACAAATTAAAAAAATAATGTTTTATTTTATGAAAGTATTTATTTATTTATTTATATATATATTTGATATTTCAAATTGTCCTCAATCTTTCATCAGAAATAACTGTTTATTACAAATAAATTAAAATTACTGTTTGTTAGCAAGTAGGAGAGTCCTTCTAACAAACGCGGATGTCACGTTATATGGAACGTCACTGTTCAGATGAAAGATTGAGTTCCAATTTGAAATATCAAATATATATAAATAAATAAATACTTTCATAAAATAAAACATTATTTTTTTAATTTGCAACTTTTTCTATATATACATATTAAGAAAGTATACGTGGCTTCTCATTATGCTATATATAATAAAGAATATAGTTATAAGGTATGCTATATTTATGGTTAAAAGTGCTCAATATCAGGAATTGAGCATATGTAAATATAAAAAAGTGAACACTGAGGTCAATACAAAGCAGTATTATTATATATATATATATATATATATATATATAGAGAGAGAGAGAGAGAGAGATATTATTTAGGCAGCAATCCTTCTTTCATGCAAGCTTCATTATATATGACAGACAAGGTGCTTTGTTTAAGTTTTTTATATAATTTCTCATATCTTATAATATATTTGTATTATCAACAAGTATTTTGTGAATAGGGTCTGGTAGGTCTCTATGAGTATTTAAATGATACCTAATTGAGCTATGGTTAGAAAGATGTAGCGAGTGTCTTTTTATCAATATATATATATATATATATATATATATATATATATATATATATATAGTGTTAGTTTGGGAGACTGTTTTTGAAGCCAAAATTGCTTATTTTTCAGTTGTTTGCTGATAGAAAGGCATTTAAGACAAGCAGGTTTTGTGGTAAAATGCTGAATATTGGAGATAAGAGGTAATAGAATTAATATCAAAAATTTTTTTCACTTAACGGAGCAGTATTTCTGTTATGCTGGCTTCGAAGTTTTGTGTTGACAGATATGTAACTACTCTTCAGAGTGAAGATAGACTATTCAGAATAGTCCAACTCTGCTCCAAAGAGGAGTGAATTTGATAAGGTAATTTTTTTTACCTCTTTTTTCAAAAATTCAAATGCACTTTCCTTACACATGGGTTTATCTTTCATTCTGACCTGAAGTGCAACTGTGATCTCAACATAGCTTTGCTATGCCTTAGAGCTACATTGATAAATGACTTTATTCCTTCATCAGGAATACAATTGAAAACTTGCCAGCAACATACCAGTCAAATGCACAAACCATCAGGCCAGTAAAGATGAAATAGCAAACTGCCTATACCAAAGGCAATCAACACAAATTATAACATAACCAAAATATTAGGGCGCTTCCCATCATCCATGCAGGACAACCTGTCTATGTGCAAAACCAGGACACTGGTAAATGGACCCCTGCAATTGTAAAACAGACATGCATGGAACCAAGATCCTATATAGTACAGACTCCCATTGGATAGGTCATCTGCCACAACTGACAACACCTAAAGGAAGACCATTCCCAGACTGGAAACAACACTGCAGTTAGTCAACTGAGAATATCTCCCAGCTCCCCAATAGAGGTCATCTCCAACAAGACCAGCTCGGAAACCAGTCAGCACCAACTTACATACTCAGAAACCAGACATTCCTGACCACAAGGTTAGGTCAAGTCATAAGAACCCCTTGCCAAATTGCCAAACACAACTTATAACTAGACATTATACAAAACTCCAGACAGAAAGAGGGATATCATTATTTGGAATTGTCTCCCTTGTAGAACTCTTCTCTAAAAATAATGTGGTTAGTTCAAACATGGCTGGCTAGCACTACACATCTGTCTTCATGTTCTATCAATCTGTTTACACACACAAAGTATACATGTGTACAATCACATACACAAAAATGTGTATACATATATATACACAGAACACACTAACCATGCATAAATACAGAAGTATATCTATAACAAAAATCAATGTATATTTTTACACTTCTCCCTGGTATTTTGAAGAGGAGTAGAGGTTTATCCCTTGTTTCCTGTTTAGGATTGTGTTTCCTTCTAATTTTTTTTTGCTTCTCTTTCACTCCCAGTAGACACTTGTGTCATTAGCACCTTGCTTGGGATGAATTGATTGAGAAGAATGTATGCCTACATATGCGTTTTAACTATAGATATTTACTTAGTTTAGCTAAGTCTGGAACAAGGCCAAATATGGAGGGAAAAGCATAAGAGAATTGTAGAGTGAGCCTGCTTGCCTTGAAAATCAACATTTGAAATCCATCAACTGCCAGTACTTGGTGAGAAATAATTACCACAGCCTGTTTAAATTTTAATTATAAACAGCTATTAATTCTAGAAAGTTCCAAAAAGCTGATTTTTACTCACCTTATGAAAGAAATGGCAACGGTCATACCTCAAGTTAAAATTGACAGCATCTTTGAGTCCATCAATACCATACATGTCAGCAATGACCAACAGTTCAACCATATCACAGTTGTCAATTAAGTCAATCACACCACCATAAAGATAAAGTAATAGTTGCTCCAATACCACAGAACTTATACTGAGAAGAAAAAAGAAACAAAGCTAATTCAGTAAATATTAAGGAAATAATAATAATAAATAAATCTTTCTCAAATACCAATCACTTGAATGTAAAATAGAATGGCTTTTCAATCAATAAATACTGTAATTATATAAAATTTTATCACTTAATGGACATTATTTATTAAACATCAAGGATATATGGGAATATTGTGTTTAAAGTTTTCAGTGAAGACCTTCAAAGACTCAATATGCCACATATATGGATTCGACATCCTCATTCCTTTCATATTCCATTGATAAGGAGTAAGTTCCACTCAGACAGCTTCTTCCCCAGAATTGTTACTGTAGAAGGGAAAAACAGTTTACCTCCTGAAACAAAACACACTTGTACATGTCTTGCATGCAAGATACATGAAAGAAAACATGGCTAATCCAAAAGCTACAATTTAAGAATATGTTATGATGGGTCTTTCATGACTCCTGTTTTTGTGGTTAGTAAAATATACTGATATACAACATAACAACAAAGTGAGATATTTATACATAAATATATAAGGATTTATTATCAGAAGGTTTGGTTGTTTTGGTAGATAAAAGTTCTCATAATGTGCTTGTTAAATGCTCTGACATTTGTGTTGTCTTATTGAATGAGTGAATTATTTTGTTGTGATAAGTCTATTATTAAAAGGTCATATTCAATATGAGGAAGTAATATTTGAGTAAAACTTATCTTTAGTCTTCATTCCTGGAGAGATTCATTTTCACATGCTCTCGTGATGAGAGGTTGTTGAAAAGACATCAGATTCTAAATTTTTCACCAGTAGGGCATTTTTCTTTTTTACTGGGGAATCACAGGAAATTAGAAGATTTTTTTTTATTTCTTGTGATTGTGAGACCACTACAAACAACTTGATCTCATAGCTCAGAGATTTTGAAAGACAAATTTGTGGCTTATGCAAATTTCCAAGGCACAGCCACTCGATAAAATGAGCATGAGAATATCAGAGATGGGCAGCAGGCAGAGGCCAATAAGCCAAGTGGTCATGCATGAAGTTTCGCTGTGGTCTCACCAACAGTGATTGAAAAAGACAGGACAATTAGTCCTCCAAACAGCCATACCTTTTTGCTACAGTTACAATGTAGAATGGAAACACAAGAGGATGATTCCCTGATTACTACAATCTTAACCTCTTCAAATCAAGGATCAACCATAATTCTTTGAACATGCAACAAAATGTTTTTTTTAATATTCAACAAAGTCAAATTTTTCTGATTATTCAAATAATTTTCTGAATACCTCTGTCAAGTAACTACAAAGAATTTTTTTTTTTTATATTTTAGTCAAGATCCTAAAGTCCACAAACTTGCACAGCAGTTATGAATTTCATATTCTTTTCAAGAGCTATATAGCACACTTTGCCAAGGCTATGTAGTTTTGAATTCAGAGTTGTCCTTCTGCTAGACTAGTTGCCAACTATATATCTAAAGCAGCCAGTCTGCCCTACTATTTAACCCATATTGGGAGGAGCAAGAGATGGATTCATATCTTTCACATGGGTATTTGTGTGAAAGTGAATGCAATGAACTTGGCCAGAATTTGAGCTGCTAATTATTATACTACCTGCACCTGAATGTAAGCAATTTTTACCCAGTTGTGGATATGTGGGTAGTTTTCTGGTTTTAATATTTGAATTACAAATAAATCACCATAAAGTAAAGACTGTCTCTAATAATTGTGACATAAATGTATGCAAACATTGCAGTAACCTTTGTTGTGATGTCTTCTAGTCTGTGACATAGAAGTCCTCCCTCTGTAATAAGTGATGACTTATTAATAGTCACAAAACTCTATACAAAATAAGGCAAGTCCATTTTGCCTATGTCACTACATGTCTTTCATTGATCTGTGGTCTCTCTGAACAATGGTAGGAGATCTTATCTCTCTCAGGGTGTGTACCTGGTTGTTTTTATTGGAGGTTTAGATCTGGACTCATCTTCATTCTGATCTTTCAACTCCATGTTGGTTTTGTGCAAACTATCCTACATAGTTTCTTTACTGCTATGTTCGCTTTCTCCATCAGAAGAACTCATACTTTCCTTCACCGCTTCTTCCATCTCGACTTCTTCATCATCAATTCTCAGTCTTATTTGATCAGAATTAGCCAATAAATTCTGTCCACTTATTGTTATTATAGCCATATTATGTCCCTTCTGTGCAATAAAGGTAGCTTTTTCAAGACTTTATTCTCTGCCTTTTTTGTACCACATTTTTCATTTATTGAATAGTACATTGTTATAGGTGATATAATTTGTCTTTCCATCAATAGAGGGTCTTTGCATTCTACCATTATGTGGAATAGTTCTATAATTAAGTAATTGTCTTGTCTATGGTGTCTCTGAATGGGGAAAATGCCTTCAATCCCATTTTCACAGTCTGCACCGTAATTCTGTTTGATTGTGGGTGGTATGGTGGTGTTTTATAAGGGAGGCACCAAATTTGCTTTAGCCACAAACATAGTTTTCTGTTTTAGCTCTTCTCTACTTGTAGCACCAATACATATATTGTCTTGATAGATGATCATATTTTTAACATCACCAGTTAGTACATTTTCAATGGCTCTTTGAAAAATAGCACTTGTTTTTACACCATAAGGCAAATGCTTCCATCTGAGTAAGCCTATTGGAGAGTTAATCATAGTGACCTCTTTAAATTTTTCATCAATTTGTATCTGGTCATAGGTAGATTTGAGGTCAATTTTAGCAAAGCATTTAATTCCTGACAACTCACGAATAGCAAATTATTTAATTCCCAACATCTCATGAATTGCAGTTTCATTGTTAAGAATAGGGAATGATTCATAGCATATTTTGTAGTTTACTCCTGTTTTGTAATCTCCACATATCCTTAACTCTCCATCTGGTTTTCATAAAACAACAATTACTACCACCAGAAGGAACATGCTCTAAAATTCCTTGCTCCACCATTGTTTTTAGTTTAGCAATTACTAAAGGTAGCATGTGAACTGGCAGTCTGTGAGATTTAAAGTAAAAACGGTTACTATTTTCTTTTAATTTAATATTTGCATTGTATCCTTTTAACATCATCATCACAAGGTAATAGGACTTTTTAATCAGTTGTCATAATTCTAAAATTTTGCACTTGTATGAAGCATTACACATACCTTCAATTAATCTCAACTCTATCAACTCATCTTCAATGGTCATTTGTCCAGCCCCAAGTTTTTAAACTCACAGAATCTGGAAGCCTCTCATAGCTTGTGTATATACTGTATTATTGTTTTTTTTTTTGGTTTGTTTGCTTGTGAGGAACTTTGTCCTCACAACAATAACCAGCTTCTTTTTCAGCTGCAAATTTCTCTTTATAATGTCCAAAATTTGTGAAAAGGTAAAATCCTCCAATTGTCTGGGATGCACCATGACAGAAATCTTTCTGATGGGTTCACATACTACTGAAGCCAAAAAGAGATCCATAATCTCATTCTCCCTTCCTGCAACTTTGTGGCCTATTAACTTCTTCATCCACATCTGGGCAGCAAAACAACAAATCTATGTTTCCACAAAGTCCAGCTCATCTAACAGTTAGAGATCCTATTAGCAATGTCATATTGCTGTGACGTCTTCTAGTCTGTAACATAGAAGCTCTCATTCCAAATCAAGTAACTTATTAGTAATTTCTTGACTCTATACGAAATAAAGCAGGTCCATTTTGCTCATGTCACTACAACCTTCTTGTTCATGATTTGGAATGTGAATAAAACAGTTGAAGAGAATTCAGACTGATCATAAATTGTTTTAAAAGATCATACAGAAAATAAAATCAAACTTAATTTTGCATATTTGAATTTTTGAAACTTTCAAATTTATTTTTAATAATGGCCTTTTAATTTGATTTTTAAAATAAAACCTTTTTCATTTTGATTTAACCTATAAAAATTTAGGATAATATATAGCAAGAAAATTAAGAACTAAATAATATATCTGCATATTAAATAGGGTATTTGAAAACTCCCACAGTACTAATGCTGTGTTAACAGAGGATTAAAATATAAAATTACAATGTAATAAATAAGGAAAATACAAAAATAAAACATTTCATTTCTATAAAAATACAATAATGTTATTTTCCTAGGTGTTGAATGTAAAAAGATTTCTTTAAGTGTTTCAATGTCTACAAATGACTTACTTATTCTGTGATGGAAAACTAATAAATTCATTCTTTTTTTTAAAAAGAAGACAAAGTTCAATGAAATAGAGGGAGAAAGATGAAAGCAATAAAGTTATACAATATACAAGAAAGTAAAAAATAAAAATTTAACATGCAGAGCTTTTGAAATGAAAAAATTAGGTAGTGTGATTGGCTGATCTACTAATGTTTTAAATAGATATATTGATAATATCCCCTGATGAGTGGACAGAATGAATTCTGGAGGGTCCATCTATGAAACTCTTGAGTCAGGATGCTGAATGTAACACCAATCAGCTAAGTGACAAATTTTATATTTGTACTAATTCTGTGTGTGTGTGTGTGTGTGTGTGTGTGTATTATATATATATATATATATATAGAAATATAGTTTTAAGATGTGCTATGTTTATGGGATAAAGTGCTCATTATCAGAGATAGAGCGTATGTAAATATAAAAGTGAACATTGAAGTCAACACTCAGAGGCGACAGGCTGTTTCATGCTAGACGCAATCGTCAGGCCTGATGATTGCATCTAGCATGAAACAGCCTGTGAGTGTTCTGAGTGTTGACTTCAATGTATATATATATATATATATATATATATATGTATATAAATAAATAAACGTACAATACAGATATTATACACACACACATAAATATAAATGTCTCACCTTTCAAGGTGCAATTTCTCAGCATCTGTTTCAGCCCAGGAACCATTAAACATTGTGTCAAAATACTTGGAACGACAAGCCAGGATACATCTAATAAGAAAGGCAACAAAATAAATACTATACAAGAATATCAAAATAATACGTATTCTTTGTAAGAAAAAGGACTTGAGAAATTATGGATTATAAATATTTCTGTCTATATATAATATAGGTTGTTAATAATAATAATCGAGACAATAATCCAAAATTACAAGATTTTATCATGTTTTTTTCAGGCTAGCAGAACTTTTGCCAAAAAAATGGTCAATAACTAGAGCCAAAATATTCAATAAATCAAGCAAAGTAAGAGTTTTGTGTCAAAATGTTCATCATGGTTAGATGTTTAATAAATCATTTGAACTTATCATATTTATACTCTTTTGGGACAAACGAACACTAAAAAAAATTAGCTGATTCTAAATTTAAATCTTGTGCTGCTTCTAACAAAAGTCTAGCGTGTTAAAAATTTGGAACTTAAAAGTTATTGTAGAATTATTTGTTCATTCTAAAAGACTATAAATATGAGATCTGATAATAAGTTTAATAGATTTATTAAACATCTAACCCTATTTAATTGGCTAACCAATCTGAATTGTGCTTGATTTATTGAATATGATATTGGTTAAATAAATAATACTGAATTAAGCTTTATATTTATTAAATTTGAGAATATAAGCAAGACCCAGCTCCCACCCACAAGGAAATGGCTGATGAAGAATTTACACAAACATATCACCCCCAACTTGAAACCTCCTTGCTCTGATATGAATTTTCTGAACTGCTACAGATGGTGTGCCATCAAGTTGAATATGTATGTGAATTTAAAGCATATATTATATATGTGTGTGTGTGTGTGTGTATGCTTTAAGTCATTTTCAGCAAAAAGTTACTGAATTTTGCCTGATGACAAGATAAAAATTTACAGTCTTGAAACAGAAATTTCTGTATAGCAATGTAAAATATTTTTTAATAAAATATATATATAATATAAAAGGCTCAAACACTAATATTCCATGGTTATAATTTATTACATTGGAATCATAATCACAATCAAATCATCAGCCCTACAAGTTCAATGAATGAATTTGTAGGGCGATGATTTGATTGTGATTCCAATGTAATAAATTATAACCATGGAATATTTGTGTTTGAACCTTTTATATTATATCCTTCTCTGCCCTGGACATTGAGTTCTACCTGGATTATATCCTCTTGGGAATTTATATATATATATATATATATATATATATATATATATATATATATATAGAGAGAGAGAGAGAGAGAGAGATTACTATATATCTATCTATATATATATATATATATATATATATCTATCTATATATATATATATATATATATATATATATATATATATAGATATATATATTGACCATATATTATATATATATATATATATATATATATATAGATATTATACTAATATATATATATATATATATATATATATATATATATATATATATATTGACCACTAATATTATATATATATATTGACCACTAGTATTATATATATATATATATATATATATATATATATATACACACACACTGATTGTTCTCAATATCTTTGTTTTTCTTTATATTATAATTTATTCTCAATTACTTGGCATACCATGTAATAATAGTAATGAGAATTATTGACATGTTGATGCTTGTCATATCATCTTTAATTTTTAAGGGGGGTAAATTGTAAGCATTCATTAAATTCCTATACAGTCATGTACTGCATATCACATTATAATAATTTTTTAAATAGCTTTTTATAGCATTTCCTTTAATCATGTCAAGCGAGACCCATGCAAATTCCACAGATTTGCTCTTTTTTTATTACTGACACTAAACATTTTGGGCTGGGATATTTCATATTACTATACAATTTCACTGAAGCAGATGTTAAATGCATGAAAAAAAAGCTTGCTGGGAGTTAAAAAAAAAAAAGGTCTAGAAATTTACACTGCTTCTTTATCAAGAATTTGTAAACAGAAGAGAGGCAAGCTAAATTTTTCTAGGCAGTGGACAGACAAGCTATTACAGGACATAATAGTACATGCTAACTATCTAAAGAATGAAAGAGCAAGCAGAATTATAATATGATATTGTTGAATAAGATGTAAATAAATGAAAATAAAGACTATGATAATCTCACTTGTGAGCACGGAAATCATGGTTGTGTACTGACAAGATACAATCAGTGTTCGTTCCTTGCAACAAAATCTGCAGCAGGTGACGGCCAAGTTTACAGCAGGGTTCATGAGGAAGAGTTGTAGAAGCAGTTATTAAATCAGGCAACCTCTGGGATGCCAATAGACCTTTGACTGGTGGTGCTTCCTCTGAAGAAGTCGGTCCACCACTGACTGTATCACAGTTTACAAAAGAAGGTTGCCGGATCTCATTCATCTGTTGTCGTCTGTCTTCTGGGCTCAAGGTTGATGCCTGGCTGTAGTCTTCATCTTTAGAAGAGGACAGAGACAAGCTGGTAAAGCTCCCATTGTTGTTGCCAAGGGAAGACGTTGATGCTGATGAAAATGACATGCAACTGTCAGCACTACTTGCTGCTTCAGGGCCAGAAGACTCACGAGAACGCACACAACTAAAGACAGGAATTTGGCTGGTAATTTTGTATGTGGATTTCTTCAGGTCTGGGTCATTGTTCTCATGAATTTCCTCATTTCCATTGACTACTGGGAAGAGACTGGAACTGCCATTCTTCAAGTCTTCAGAAATCAATTTCTTTATAAATTCTTCCACCAAGATATCACAACATTCTGTTGTGTACAGTTGTCTGCAAAACAATTTTATTAAACATGAATAAACAATTAAGGTATATTTTCTCAAGAAATTTGGTAAGCAGAAACAAAAAAGGAAAGTCACATTATTTCACAATTCTCTTTGCATAATGTAGAAAATTGGACAAATATGGACCTTCATGCCTGCAAAAAACAGAGTGTCAAGAGGACAGTTTTTCTTATGACAGCTCTTTTATTTTAACTACCATTAGCAATGTTTATTATTTTAAAAAGTGATTATTAGAATTGTAATAAAACCTAAACATATGAGGAAATTAATTTTATACATTTGTTCATGAGAATTTATAACAAAAATATTAAACACTATTAGTTTATTTATTTAAAAAATTAAAATTCATACAATACAATATTTATCATTTACCAATTTATAAAGTAATAAATACAAAAACAATTTTTTAATCATAAATTTATAAACAATTATTACATTATTAAAATACGAGAACAAACTATAAGGAAATCCTTATTATTTACCCTTTTATAAAGTTTGAATCAATTTGTAATTAGAAAAGGTTTTGACAACCATTTCAATAACAATATAATAAATAGTGTAAATAAACAAACCAATAAATAAATAGGGTTTATTATTTTTGCTATCAATTCTCAAGAACTAAGAAAATGTAAAAATTCACTTTCTTATGTTTAGGCTTTATTACAATTCTAATCATCACTTTTTAAAACAATAAACATTGCCAAGAGAGAAAATAGTTAAAAATAAAAGTGGTATCATGGAAAAAACTGTCCTTTTGAAACCCTGTTTTTTTGCAAGCACGAAGGTCCATGTTTGCTAAAAGTTGCATATTCAATTTTTAATAGAGACAGAAGTAGCAAATTCAATTCATAGAATCAAAGTTAAACAAACCTTTTTCATGACTGCTTAATGAAATTTAACTGACATTCATCTCTGGATGAGACAAGTTCAAAAATATATTTGATGTCTAATAACTTAAGATCCATCCTTTATTGTAGTAAGAGATAAAGCATCAGTGATAGATACTGGTGTGCACAGTAATTGATGAGAGAATTCAATATGATATTGAGTCATGTGAGATGTAGGGTGAATATATAGGAAATAAATCATTTCCAACACAATTACATACCCACATACATACCATATTAAAACATGTCCAAAAGATTCCACAATACAACACATACTGTTTAAATCAGTGTCTATTGGTTAGAAATTAACATCACCATGTGAAATATTTGACCAATCAAAGAAAACTAAAAGCCTATTTTTCTCAAGCCAACTTTCAGAAAAAAATTCTCATAAAAACTCACAGATTTCAACTTTCAAAAGAGCTGACGTGGCTTTACAGCTTTTTCCTTTTCCCCCAGTGTGTGCTGAAAGAAACATCTCCAACAACAGCATAGACAGCTAGTGAAAGTCTTCAAACAAACCATCTCCAACAACAAAGATGGTCAGGGAATCTACTCAAAGACTTTAACTAATGGCTATTTTTACTCCTTTTTAACTCTTGAATTCATGTACATATGTTGGTAAATATAATACAAAAGATTTATTTAACATTCAGGTTTTCTTTAATTTTATTTTATTATTGTTTAGAATTTGAACATTCAGATATTTATTATAAAAAAAAACTGAATGAATGAAAGAGATCCAAACCTATATTATAAGCAAAAAACTAATTCTCTGTTCATCACATAGTTTGCATATGACTTTGCATGCACATATATATGCTATGTATATATGCATGCCTGTGTTGTGCATAAGTGCCTTACATGTGCTTGTGCCATTTAATGTATACACAAACAAACAATCACATACATACACTCACACAGTTTGACTAAGTTTGAAATAAAACATAGGAATAATAAATTATCTTTCCACTCAGCCTGGATAACCCTTACCCTGGGCTGAGCAATAAAATCCAACCTTTTCAGAATTTATTTCATAATAAATAGAATTATTTTTCCAAGATTTTTTTTTTTTAAGTTTATTGATTCATTGTCTATGGCTTATCAACCCTTTGCAGCTTATTTAAAGACAGAAAATATTTTTTGATTGTGAGAATTTTTTTTTTTAGATAATAGTGATTTAGTGATACAAATCTTACTAATTAATCCATAACTTGGGGGAGAATTCATACCGTTCCCAAGAGTATTTGCTCATAAGTAAATATAACAAGCCAAATGAGAATTGGAACTTGGCTCTCAGATTAACAATTCTGAGCCATTATCCATTACATCACCTGCACATCCACACTTGCAGCACCTGGTATTCCCAAGCAGTGACCCATCAAGATACTGACCAGGCTTGACATTGTTTAACTCCAGTTATCATACAGGAACCAATGTTTCAACATGATATGGCCATAAGCCCAATATTTTTAGGTTTGTCATTGAATTAAAATATACATGCTTTCACTCAAATATACATACACACAATTTGAATGAAAGTGAAATGAACATCTGTGTTATGAGAACTAACATCGCTTTCTGTCTGGCAACAACCCCTTGGTAATAGGAAAAGAGTATAAATCCAAATGTCCAACCCTTTGAAGTAATTTTCATAACTCCTGTTTTTAAAATGAATATATTTTCTAATAAACTTAGTATTTTAAATAGACAAACATTTTAGGATATTGCCATCAGCAAAGTGATCGCTACCAAACTAGTAAACTAAAACTAAAAAGTAAAAAACATACACTGAAAGGCACAAATAGCATAATTTTGTTTTCACACTTGGTAAATTTGTAAAAATGAGGTGTTAGCTTTTTTTAAAGTACTGATATCCAAATCAATATTACCTGAGAAAATCTTTCAGTTCTTTACTTGTTATGACATCAGATGCCGAGTTGTTGTCGTTAGCCAAGTAATCCAGCAGGTAATTGTAAATATCTCCTTCCCTGATGAAGAAAATTCATTAATCATTTTGTTTAATTAAACTTCTGTTTCCATCAGGCAGAGAATTATCAATCAATAACGTTCATAAAATCTTTTTAGTATACAACCAAGTTAAACTGACAGTAAATCAATCAGATCATAATAAAATTGACTCATTGTCTTATTTCTATTTGCAAATCTATAAACCTTTTCTACACTTGGCTGTCCTTCAAGAAAATATTTTTCTGTTTATCAAATACAAATATATTGAATATATGTCTAAATCAAAAATAACTCTCCCAAAAGTGTAATATTAATATTTTCAAAATATTTTTTTGGGGGGACAATAATTTATTATAAGCTGAAAGATAAGACACATTAATAAATATAAAATGTAAACAAAAATAATAAATAAATATACACATATATTTATGTTGCATATTTCAATGACTTTAGGCAAAAGAGAAGGAGTTCTACAGAAGAATGAGAAAACTATGGATGAGTGTGTAAGCAACGAGGATGTTTTAAAGAAAATGGAAATAAAACCTTAGCCCAATTAAGGAATCCATTCAAATTGGTATATAACTTACCTTCCTTGGAGCATGATTTTATGTGCTTTGACGTCTTTCTTACCAACATAGAACAAGATATCTGGATGAATGCTGTCTTCAAACATCCTATAAAATAAACAAAGAAAGATACTCTTATAACAACAGAAAAATCCAATGAAAAATTAAAAATTGTGATGAAACTATCTATTTTAATATTAAAAAAAAAAAAAAAATGATTATTATTAAACTAACAATGCCTAACAATGTTCCATTCTGTTATCTCCACTCCATTTCATAATTAACCACACTGTTTTTCTTGAAGATATTTACATTTACTTTATCTAATTACTGCCCATAACACATTGAAACACCATATGATCACTGAAGTCAAGCCTGGTCAGGACCTAGATGGGTAAATACTTGGGAATATCAGGTGCTGTAAGCTTGGATGTGCAGGTGGTGTAATGGACAATAACTTGGAATTGGAAATCAGAGAGCTGAGTTTCAATTACAGTCTGCTTTGTTATATTCACTTATATGCAAATACCCTTGGGAAAGGTATGAATCCCTGTCTTCCTCCCCAGCTATAGGTTAATTAGGAGGATTTGTATCCGTTAATCATTATTATCTAAAAAAAAAAAAATACTATAATCTAAAAGTATTTTCTGGCTTTAAATAACCTAGAAAAGGTTAATAGACCATAAGAAAACAAATCAATCACAGCCCAACAAGGTTCAATTACTCTTCAAAAGGGTAACTGGACATTGCAAGGGGTTGACACTCTCTGTGGCTGAGCGATCTAAAGCACACTGGATCTGACAGTGGTTTCTCCTACAAAGAGGGATGCAAGTTTGAAAACAGCAGGAGATCATATTTTCTTTATTAAGACATTTTACACTATTTAAGTAAAACAGGGAACATCTGCCTAAACATGGGTATCCACAAAAAGAATGTTTAGAGCAGTAAAATACGAGGTCTGTTTGAAAAGTAACGAGACTGATGTCACAAACAACTTATTTCAATTCCAAGTAACAAACTACATGGTTTCCCCTCCAAAGTAATCTCCCTTGAGTGTAATGCACTTTTCCATCCTTTTCTGCTACACTTCTACACACTGCTGGAAGGAATCTTTTTGAATGCCTCTCAGCTCAGTTGTTACGGCCCTCTTGATGGCCTCCACACCTTCAAAATGGGTCCCCTTAATAACCTCCTTGATCTTGGGAAAATAAAAATGTCAAACAGAGCAAGATCAGGTGAATAGGGAGGTTATTCTAGTATGGCAATGTTATTCTTGGTCAGGAACTGCCGGATGCTCAAGGCATTAAAAGCAGGTGCATTGTCATGGTAAAGTAGCCATGATTTGCCCTGCCACAAAAGCATGTAGAAAAAAAAAATGAAATGGTTGCAGAATGCTAAGATTATAGTTATATACTTCCAAGATATCCTGTTAGATGATAACACAATTAGCTTATCTCTCTTTCATGCAAAGCTCACAGCACACTGAGTCCATTACTTTTAAGTCAGATAATATATATTATTTGTATAAATGAATGCTAATAAATTATCCATCAGAGCCTGTCTATATTTCTGAGATGAGGTATTATGTACATTATTTACATTATTCGGACTATTGTCCTCATCTTTGTAGGCATATTTATCACGTTTTGGCCGTTGTATGCTCCGGCCTTCTTTAGGTGGTTGGAATGTTGAACTGAACCCTTTATTTTGCTCACCGGGGTAGACTGTTCTAGTTCCATGTGCCATGTTTAATGGATGTCAGTTATCAGTTATCTCCTGTTAATTTCCCTCTGAAAGTTCTCCAGTGCCGTAACCGGGTATTGAACTCACACTCTTTGGGTCCTGTCCCTGCAATTGCAATATGAGCACTGGTAAAAATGGTTGCTGAAGACATTAGGTTTATAATACCCAGAAAATCATACCCAGATGTACTCAAGGACACATGGCACAGTGGATAAAGGCGTTGGTTAGATCCAGTGACAGAAAAATGAATTCAGTTGTTGAAATAAATGCTTGTAATGCTAAAGACTCTTCTCAAAGTTATAAACAACATTTATATGAAAGAAGGTTTCTCAATCAAAGAATCAATCTCCTCAGATGAATCCTAGTAAATGTTTCTGGATCATTTTGAATTGGATTCAAAAAACTTTCTGATGTTGGTTTCATTTTCTCGAGTTCTTCTGCAGAAGATTTGAAAAATTTACAAAACAATACAATCATTGGATTAGTTGTTCACCATAATAGATCTGACCATAATTTCAATTTAAAGAATGCAGTTTTGAGTAAAAGAGAAAGTAATTTATTAAAGGTGAAAATGTATTGAAAGTGCACTCATTTCAGAATCTTCAACAGTAAATTTATATCCATGTTAGAAAGCTTTCTACAAACTATTTGTTTAATTTTCTGATTGGTCAGATATCCCACAAACAAAGATATCAGATACTTGAAAGAGTACCAGGAGGTGCTGAAAAGCTTTTACCTTAATTGAAACAGAGTTAAAGGGATTTTGGAAAGAGGGTTGGACTAATAACTGTTCAGCACCTTCTTTACATAAACTTTAAAATTTTCATAGCATATACATAAAATTTTAATTTAATAAAATATAGTCAAATTATTAAATAAAAAAATCATTAAATAAAAGCTTATACTTGGAAATGTGTGTATTTGATTTTAAAATTTCTCTCTCTCAAACACATATATATATATATATATATATATATATATATATATATATATATGTGTGTGTGTGTGTGTGTGTGTATTTAGGCAGCAATCTTTCATTTATACATGTTTCATTAAAGATGACACACAAGGTACTACAATTAAGATTTTTACTTAATTTTTCTTGTGTTCAAACAAGTGTTTTCTTTTTGGGACATAGAGTGTAGAGAAACTGTCCAAGCATTCTATAATTCTGAGCACTTTCAGCTATACATTTTAGCCATTATCAAGGATGATTTTATTTTTTTGCTATTTGCACAGTTTTACACACTCTGTGTCCAAAAAAAAAACACTTGTCTGAACACAAGAAAAGTTAAATAAAAAGCTTAATTGTAGTATCTTGTCTGTTGTCTTTAATGAGACAATATATATATATATATATATATATATATATATATATATATATATATATATATATATATTTGCGTGTGTGTGTGTGTATGATAAAGTGGAAAAAGTTATGTGACGCATTTTGTCCCTTAGGACTTCATCGGACAAAATGCATCACACGAAAACTTTTCACTTTGTCATACATTTTACCTCCCAAACTGTTCTTGATATAAGAGATGTCCATGCAATGATATGAAAGATTTTGGCATGATATTAAAAAAAAAAAAATAACTCAGAGGAAAATAAAAAACCAAAATTCACCTAAAAGTCATTTCATAATAAAAATGATTTTTTTGTATGAAAAATCAAATCCACATTCTATCCTTATTTTTTAAGTGATTTCTATCAGAGGCTTTCACAAAATCCAATCTAGTTTTAAAAGATCAAAGGAGTTTTTTTTTTTTTGACTGTTTATTGATCACTATTTATAATGGAACTAATGTCCTCATCTTTGTTGTTGTTGTTATCACAATGTATTGGCCATTGTGCCCTCCAGGTTTCTGTCAATCTTGATAACCCAGATAGATTGTTCTTATTCCACTGTCCATGTCTAGGTGTTTTGTTCTTTTTAGTACTTCTCAGTTATGGCTCACCTTGTTTCCTCAGAGTCTGATTATGTAATATCAGGCACAGTGATTGAATTATGCCACAAATCAACATTTTATTCTCCCATGGAAAAATTCTGAACTTTGAACTTGGAGCTGTGAACCTACCATTCTCATTGCCTGTTTGCTGCTGCCACTGCTGCTATTGTCATACTTTTCTAACTGCTGAAGCCTTGCTGTGAATTTTAGCTCTTTCCATAATTGTTTGTCTTTCTTTTGTTGATGGCTCCAATAGGGTATCTATTTCTATTTTGGCCTCATAAGATAAAACAGGTCAATATTTTTTCAAACCAAATGTTATTGGGCAATGGGCACATGTTTCTGGGCTATATTTTCACGCTGAATTTGAAAATCAAGTCCATTTTCCCCCATCACATCACATTTTCTCAGTAGAGATAATTTCTATTTTTCTTAAAATAGGCCAAAATACCTATTTAACAGTGATATGCCAGGGTCAGGTAGAACCAACCTTAAACATTTTCAGGTTAGAATAAATTATCATAAAGAAAAAGTATCCCAATAACTTAAAGAATGCATTTTCAGTTCAGAAAAAGTTTTCAGAAAAATCTTACACAAAATTAAATTAAGGCAAATATGTGTCATCAATTTTTGAATCAAAACAAAGAAGATACAAAGGAATGAAAAATTCATTTTTGTCTATCCAAAGGTATAAATCTTCTATTCTTGGAAACTCTATGGTGCTTTTGAAAAGGTTGATCTCTTTTGATGCTCCAGCAGAAATTATAATCTTGGGGATTATAGTGATGAACAGGGAGAGAGGTTTCATCAGGATCGCAAGGTAATGGAAGAAAGATACAAAGGCAGATGGGATGTTAATATGATAGCTGATTTCCAAGAGTTTCCAAGAAGAGAAGATTTATATTTTTGGATGGACAAAATTAAATGTATTTTTCATTCCTTTGTATCTTTGTTTTAATTCAAAAATTGATGACACATATTTGCCCTAATTTAATTTTGTGTAAGATTTTTCTGAAAACTTTTTCTGAACTGAAAATGCATTCTTTAAATTATTGGGATACTTTTTCTTTTATGATAAGTTATTCTAACCTGAAAACATTTAAAGTTGGTTCTATTTGGCCCTGGCATATCAATATTAGATAGTTATTTTGGCCTATTTTAAGAAAAATAGAAATTATCTATACTGAGACAACATAATGTAATGAGAAAAAATGGACTTAGTTTTCAGATTCAGCATGAAAAAAAATAGCTCAGAAATATGCGCCCATTGCCCAACAACATTTGGGTCCACAAAAAAAAAAAAAAGTTGACTAGCGTAATCATATCCTAGCATTGTGATAATAGTAACAAAAATGAGACCATTAGTCCAAACCTAAATAATGATAACTCCTCATTCCAGAAATTCAAACAGAA